AGAAGAAGAAGAAGAAGAAGAAGAAGAAGAAGAAGAAGAAGAAGAAGAAGAAGAAGAAGAAGAAGAAGAAGAAGGAGAAGAAGAAAATACTGATGGAGGAAAACAGCCACTATTTAAATTGATAAAAAAAATTTTAACCAACTCAATGAAAAAATGTTGGATACATGGTAAAAATTGTTTTTCACAAGTTAAATCTTAGAATAATTCTTTAATAAGTCTGTTGGCTTTGCTCTCTTTCTCTTCCTATTTTTGAATTTCAGCATCTCTATTTCTGCAATCATTAAAAAATAGCTCATGATAATAAGGATGATGCCTGTAATTTATTAAAAATTTAGATTCACTTTGAAGGTTGACAAAAATGGATTATGGCTTTTAACATTTTTGTCTTGATAATATATTTTAATAGATACATTTATTTTATTGCCTATGTCTGAGCTATGAATCAATGATGACTGAGGTATGTTTGCTTTTAATCTTGTTATTAACAGCAGCAACTTTGAGTTTAAATGGGTTTATGGCAACAGAGTTCACCTAAATGGGTTCTGTTTGAGGTCAGCATTGGACAAAAATAGGAAAATCCCACAAGAAGAGACTCATTCATGTTTATGGACTCATACAAGCTATTTCTGGTATGAAACTCAAATGAAGCCATTTACAAACTGAAAGCTTGTGCATTATGAAGTGTTTCCGAAAATAGGGCTCTTGGAAATGGGAAGTTTCTTTAAAAAATAAAAGTGAGTCACTGTATCTATTTACAAAAGGTATTAATCCCAAATGGCTACATAGAGCTAGTTTTATTTTTAAAAATATACCACCTGAATCAGAATCTATAAACTACTTACTCAGGTGCATATAGTTCCTTCACTCATTCACTCATTTTTTTCATAATCTTATTCAAAAAGAATTTATTGAACTTTTAGGATGGGCCTTACATCAGACATGGGATTGCAGGCTGAGCACAAATAATCCAACACACTTCTGTTGTGATGAAAATGATCAACTACTAAGAAAAGCAAGTCATAGAATGGAAGGAGTTACAAAGCATAAATACTCAGTGCTTTAAAAAAGGAAACATAAGAACAAAATATAGTTTTTTTTCTCTCAGTCTGGGTGGATCATGAGAATCATCTGAGGGCTTTTAAATATATACAATTGTCTTCCAGTTAATGGCACACCCAATAT